TAGACATTTCTCGCTACAGCAAGACAGGTCACTATAGTGAGACCCCTTCTCATTGCAGCGAAAATCTTGCACTTTGGTGTCTGTAGAGTCTCGCTACAGCAAGAATGCAACTAGAAATACATCCCCTCTATTGTCCTCTCGCTACAGCGAGTACGCAACAAATGCACGCCTTTTGCCTAGGGGCTCTTACTACAGCAAGAATCCCTCTGCAGCACACAATTAGCCTATTCTTCCAATCAGCCCAAACACATCCAACCTCTCACTACATAATCAACACATACACACATACGTGTCTACATCATCATGCATATACACATACTTTCACATTATCATATACATCAAATACACTTTCAAATAGCAATCCACATATTCATATTAATAATAAAATAGTTTACAGAACTTAGGGTATTACAGTCTTCATATTCTATACTCCCTATGTATGTCTATAACTATCCATACATATTTTAGTCAGTTTTTCATGATACTTATTCCTTAGCACTTCTCAAATATTGATATCTATTTCTTTTCATCATTTTTCTCATGATAGCACAATTTCCACTCTTTTTCTTTCTCTTTATAATAAAAATTCACCATACTATGTCATTCATGTACAATTAAACCATTAATTAATCATTCACATCAATTCTCTTTCATAATTTCCTTTATTATGAAATCAAATTCACATTAATTCTTTTCATTACTTTTACTAATAATAGATTTCATCATTCAAAAACAGCCAAACACTTTCATCAATCAATTTCACATCACACAAATCAATACAATGTGTCATAGGTCAAACGCCTTCAAACTCAACCTAATCGTACAGTTTAGAAATACATTGCCAAAGATCACACTCTCTTGGTCCTTATAGAAATAATCTATCTTAAGGTTTATCCCTTTTTCCCCAACATATATACATATATATGTTGAATAACGCCTTTATGAAAATCTTCTTAAAAAACTCATTCTCAAAACATATCATAGGTTTTCCATACTAAAAAATTCCTTTATACACTGTAATTGTTAAGAAAACATTAGGGATTTGTCATTCTAAGCAAGAGTTTGGGATCAACTCCCTTTACCTAGATATGGGTCTGTCAAGTTGAGTTTTTCTTAAAGATCCAAAGGAGAAGTACAACATTTCCAATGGAGGATATCGCCTTAAGGGTTAAGGTTTCCTTGAGCATCACAAAGCACAAAACTTTATATTAGAGAAAACTGAGAAATAGGAATGAAGTTGGAGAACCAAGCTCCAAGAAACTTACTTGGATCTGAATGGAATAGAGGTTTGAGCTCGAATCTAGAAGAGATTTGGGGTACAGAAGAGGTTTCTCTGAGAAGAGAAGGTAAGAAAACAGAGAGAATGAGAGAAAAAATTGTTTTGAGGAGAAATAATGAAAGTTTCGAGGTTGAGGTTCCTTAAATACCCCTCCACTAGTGACATTCTCACTTCTCGCTACAGCGAAAAAACCAGATATCTTTTTCCCATTATTGTCTGTCATTTTTGCTCCAATGAGAATCTCCTCGCTCTAGTGAGAATTTCTTGCCAGCAAGAGTATTAGCTGGGTCAACCTTATCCATTTTGTTGCTACAGCGAGAAGATTCAGAGAGCTTGATTTCTGGATGGTCTTCCTTGCTACAACGAGACATATCTCACTATAGCGAGAAATCTTGCACTAAAATTCCTATTCTTTTTTCAATACAAGGGCCATAAAATTGAGGGTGTTACAACGCGCATCTTGGTTTCTTCATAACATGTTTGCATGTTGTTACTCTTTGTGTTGAAAGTAGCCACGCACACCTGCGTTTCTCCACAAGGTCTCTAGAGTTGTCACTCTTGGTAAGGAAAGTAACCATGCGTAGAGATTTTCTTCCTGTACTCTTCAACAATGTTACCATTTGCCTAAAAAATGATAACGTGCATGGGTTCTTCTACTCAGGCTCTATAGTTGTCATTTTTTGTGCCCAAAGTTAATGACGACCTCACTAGCTTGGAGAGCTTGAGCCAAGTGGAGGATACTTTGGAGGGACTTCAAGGCCCTATAACTAGGTCAAGGGTTAAGAAGGCCAAAGAAGCCCTAGGCAAGCTTCTGGGCCTAGTGAGTTTTAAGAAACTCCTTTTCTCTCAAGTGATCTAGGTAGAGACCTTGAGTTTACTTCTTATTAGTGGATTCTTCTATCATGATGAAGATCTTGTGGCTTATCTCCGTTTGAGAGTAGTGCCAATATCCATCTCATTTTTCTTCCATTTTTTTGTTAAAAATTCTTGTCCGATTGCATTGTTCTTCAAGGAATCAAGGATTGGTGAATGAAGCTACTCTAGGAACGATCCGCACATTCAAAGGAATCAAGCAATTCATACATCAAAAGTGATCACTTCCATCATGTTTCTCATTAAACAATATTGAAGTAGCCATTTTTGATGCCAAGAGTTGCCACACCTAGTATAACTTCATGCTTCATACTTTCTGTAACACCCCAAATTTTTGTAATAATAATTATTATTATTTATATAAATCTAAATGCATATATATGTGTGTATTGATTTACTTGATAATGATGTTTATGTGTATTAAGTATATGTATGTGTGTATTATGGGTATGCATGACTGGATAGGGCTGAGAGGGGCTAAGTGCCTAAGTGCAGGGCATAATACTGGGCTGTTCTCGCTACACCAACAAGATTCTTGCTGTAGCGAGAAGACCCTAGGAGGAAGGATTGGAACTGTCACCTTCTTGCTATAGCGAGAGACGTCTCGCTGTAGCGAGATAGCGACAGTTTGGGGTGCATTTCTGGGTGCAGTCTTGCTATAGTGAGATTCTGCAGAAACGAGGGTGTAGTTTCGTCTGATATTTTTGCTGCAGCGAGAGGGTGTGTCGCTGCAGCAAGAGAATATCTTGTTGTAGCGAGAGTGTCGCGACCAGAAAAGGATTTAAAGGGGGTTATGGTTCGGGGAGGGTTATTTCTCTCTCTCCCTTCAAAATCCCTTTGATCCTCTCATTCCCAAATACTTTTTCACCGATTAAATTGCCTCCAAAGCCATTCGGGAGCTAGATTGAAGGTTGAAATCACATTTGGGGCATTTGGAGGTAAGTTTTAATGATTAAGGTTTCCATTTTTCAACCTCATCCTCTGTTTTCGTGGTTTCCTTGGGTTTTCATGGAGTTTCTCCATGTGTTTAGGCCGAAATCTGTGTGGAGAACACATCTGAGGTGAATCCGAGTGTGGGTCTTCAATCCAAGGTAAGGAGGGCTCTACCCTATCTCAATGTGTTATAATGCTTGTGTGTTTGTTGATTAATGCAATGTGGCTGAGATAGGGAGTAGAAATTGCGTGTTAAATGGAAATTGGTGAATTAATGATATTGTGAGCAAATGTGGGTCCAAGGGCTGTGTAATATAAATGAGTATTGGCTACGTGTCGTGTGATGTGAAATGAATGTGTGCCTAGTGTCGTGTATTTGAATGCAAATGTGGGCTGTGTGCTGTGTGTAAGCATGAATATTGCGTGTGTGAATGAAATGTGTGAGAATGGGGCACGTAGCGCCGTTGTAATGTGCTGTGAATGGTTCAATGATACACTAGGGGTATGGAAGATGAGGATGGTAAAAATACCTTAGGGAAGAGGGAGTGGTGGTGACACCGACTGTGGAACGGGTGCACCACAAGCCACACACTCTCTTCCTGACTAGACCTCTGACCACTATCTTTGCAGAGCGACCCGTGACTGCCCACGTGCTATCTGTGAGGCAGGGGTAACTGGTGACCATTCATGATGTAAATCTGTGATCACAGTGCCACAGTGAGTGTGGCTAGCGTGCGTATGTACGAGTTATGAATTGTACTTATGGATGTGAAGTACTGCTGATGCTGTGAGTGCATTGGTGTTAAATTGACATGAGCTGTGTGATAATGCTGCCCGTGATTGTATTTGTTTAATGTATTGAAAATGTGCTGGAGGTGAGACTCTATGTTGACTGTGTGTTTTTAGGTAGTGTAGAGTACTCACCCTTACATTCATTTTTCAGGTAATCAAGAAGATCAGCACCAAATTCAGTGAAGGGGTAGATGGAACTGCTATAGGACTTAGGATATTATTTTGAAAACTTTTGTATTTGAATAAGTCTTGTAGCAACTGTTTGATGCAATTGTAACCCCTTTTCTTTATTTGAAATGTTTGGTAAAACTTGGATTGAAAAATGGAAATTTCATTATTTAAAAAATTTGCAAAATTTCTTATTTATTGAAATTAAATTTAAGGTGTTACACTTTTGATGTTGTCACTCTTTGTGGTTAGAGTGATCACTTTCATCCAAATTGCCCTCTAAATATCTTTAACTCATGAATCTTGGCTCAAAATTTTTTGCATATTTATTTTAATCAACAAAAATTACATAAGAAATCAATCAAATCTAAATAGTTTGAAATATTTTAACAAAATTAACTTATTTGAACAATTATCAATTTTTGGGATTTTAACCTTCCTAACTCTATTTTTTTATTTAGAAAACTAACTAAAGTTCCAGTAAAATATGTATTTATCACATACTGACTCGTTCTAAGTCTTCTATAATTTGCTTATTTGATCTGTAAATTGTAAGAAATGTATGAAGACAAAGGAAAAAGTTAAAAGAGCAAATAATGGTAAAAGGAAGGAGATTCATCCAAGATTACATTACACCTACTGCTAGAGGTACTTTTGGAAGCATCGTGGCCCCTAATTCCAAGGCCAAAAGTTTTGAGATAAAGTCAACATTGATTACTATGGTTCAGAACTCTACGCAGTTTGGAGGAATTCCTAATAAAGACCCCAACCTCCATTTAACAAAATTTCTCCAGCTTACGGGTACTATAAAATACAATAGGGTCATAAGTGATGCTATTAAGCTTCACCTTTTCTCATTCTCTATCACAGAAAAGGTGAATGCATGGTTCATCATGCTCTTAGCAAGTTCTATCTCAACAATTTTTGAAATGTATTTCCCCCATCTTGATATGTTAAGCACGTGGCAAAGATATCTAGCTTCCAACAAAATGAGTTTGAATCCCTATTTGAAGTGTGGGAACTATTTGAAGAACATCTGAGGAGATGCCCTCATTATAATTTTCTTGTGTGGAGATAGATGTAAATTTTTTATAGTAATTTATCAGTCTCTAATAGGGTCACTGTTAATTCATCAACTAAAGGAGCCCTCATGAGAAAAGATCTAGATAAGGCATATAAATTGGTGGATGAGATGACATCTGCCAGTTTTTAGTGACACAAAACTAACCCTTACATGAGCAAAAAGAAGAAGATCGCTTTGGTCTATCTAGCAAAGAGAAACAATAAACTAAAAACTCAAATAGAAGCTCTGACAAAGCAGGTAAAATCTTTAATGAGAGTACAGGGGCAATTAACCCTTCTAATTCATGGGGGAATGGCTTTGGAAGCCAAAATTTCAATGTTTATCGCCTTCCTATACACCAAACCAAAGTGCAAGATCAGATGAGAAGGAGGCCCCTAGATCTCAATCTAACTTTCAAGAACAAATGACGCAAATGTGCATTATTCTCATAAGAGGATGTTGGAGCTCTAATCTAAGTTAGAACAACATATTAAAAGGGAGGATAAAAGGTTCATAAAGATTAAATCAGAGATAAGATCACAATCTTCAAAGATCGTCATAGCTAGACCAAATCACTAATCTTTTTAATCAAAATACTAGGAACATTGCCAACCTAACTCAAATCTAATCCAAGGGAGCAATGTAATATTATCACTTTAAGAAGTGGGAAGAAGGTGCAAGAATTGTGGAGAATAGAGACACATGTAAGCCTGTGCTTCAAGATATGCACATCCACGTTCCCCTTACAGCCACGCCCTTGCTTAATGATGACCACGTCTTTACTTCAGGAGAAGCATAATCGTGGTCGACAAACACACCTAGTCAGACTCAACATGCATGATCGTCATCACCATTGTCTGGCCTCTAATTTATTATTGAGTAATCTTTAATATTTTGTACTTGTTAAATATTAATTGAAGGATTATTTGGTATTGAAATAAATTTAGATGGAGATTAAATTTTCTTTTTTAAAAAATAAACAGTGTAAATTGCGTGAACAGTGTTAGTATGAACAGTGATTCTGGCATGAACAGTAACTCTGACATGAATAGTCCCAATTTTATTTTTATATAAATAGGGGTCCTTAGCGCAAAATCTTCATTTCTCCATCATTCTCAAAGGTTCCAAGGCCATATACCACCACTTTCTCTCATATTAAACCCTCCTACACTTAGATTTCTCGTCAGATCTGAGATTCTACGTCTATTCTGCAGGATTTGAAGTAAGTTTCTTTATGTTTGATGTAAGATTCACCGTTCGTTTATCTTCTCCTTCTCTTTATCATAGAAATTCATAGTGTTCTTAGGAGAAACTCCATTCTAAAGCCAAATCTTTGGTGAATCTTGCATTAAAACAAGTAATATTCGGTAGATTTGCTGTGAAACATCGTTCTAAGGTAAATGGAGCTTATTTTAGCCTATGAACTATGTTTTAAACAGTTTGATATGTTAGATTTCTTTGATAAAAGCTGAGATATAAAGGATTTAATACTTGAAAGTTGATTTTCTATGCTGTAACTGCTGATAACTGAATTAATAACACTGAGATTTGGCTGATTTATTATAAACATGTCTTAACTGAGCTATTGGAATGATTTTAGCCGTGCAGCATCATGCTGAGATATATGTCTTGCATCACTACAGAGCCGAGTTACACATTTAGGTAGGTAGACGTGTAACGATAGAGCATGTTGGGCTATGTTGTGTTGTGCTGTCTGGATCCAGATACCGGAATGGGTCACTCCCGGACTGGCTCTATTCCTTGAGGATTACTTAGGCTATGAAACCAGTTGGAAACTATTTTCATGTTGTGCATTAGATGGGCTAGGAATGCATGGGGCTATTGCCATGAGTAAATATTTTGCTCTATATATATATGATTTTATTTTATTTTTTGTAAGCTCACCCTTGCATTTCTGTCTATGCTGTTGTGTGTGTGTGTGTAATGCGATGATCATACTGTGGTACATGAGCAGATGTAGTAGGTTTGCATATACTTTATAGGCAGAGGGGCCAGTGGAGAAATGTTAGAAGTTGGAGTCGAGTAATTTTGCATTAAAGTCCTATTTCCTTTATATTTTGAGACCTCATATAGAAGGAGCTATGTAGTATAATTTTGTGTATTTTAAATATTATGAACTAAATGTAATATTATGTTGTTTTATTGGATATTTGTTGTAAGAAACTTTATTTTATTTTGAATGAGAAGTGAATTTTATATTTATATTCTCCATTATATATCTATCTTAAAAAAGTAAGTGGTGTAGAAATAATGTTCTCGGTTCCTGATAAAAAGGGGTGATGACATTTTAGTGGTATCAGAGCATGGTCTAGGTAAACCTACGGGGTTAGGTTACTAGGCTTTAGCTATGCATTGCATTTAGAGGTTCTAGCTGTGAATCATATAATAAAATTTCTAATCATCAGGTTGTGAGGGAACGAGCTTGATCACGTTGGTTCTCAGACACGACAAATGCAAGAAATTTTTGTATATGATACTTGGGTGAGCTATAGGCGAGTCATGCTGCGTGAATAATAAGTTGTTAAGCTAAGTTGTAAATGATTGCTGACATAAGTGTGTTTGTTATGCTGTGTGAATGCTGAGAATGCTGATATGATGTTATGCTAAGCGCTAAATTGATTAAGTTGCTATGATATACTTAATATAAATATATTACTGTAAGCTGAATCTATGAATATAGCTATGTGGTGATATTTGTCACAAAAAATTGGAGAACTAACTAGCAAGTGTACTAGGTAGTTGAAGCAAGTAATAAAATTTGGAAATCAATGAGTCCTAAGTATCGTTCTTAGGGATTAGATCTATCAATTACCACTTCACAAATCAATAACTAGTGGAGCCAAACGAATTTAGAGTGTTTTGAATCATTTATCAAACTAAAACAATAAAGTGCAGAAATTTTAAAAATACATCAAAATAGAATACGAATTTTGTATTAAAAAGCTATATGGAAAAGACTTAGGAGTCACTTCACTAGATTTTCAATTGTAATGTAATAATGTTCTACACTCTTAAGAATTCTAATTGATTAATAATCAATTTCACTTCTTTAAGCAAAGGACAATTTCTTGCCTCATTGATCCTAATATCTAATTAACCCTCTCTAATTCCTTAGGTAAAATTCAACCAGATATTGCATTAAGTTCTGGAAATTATAGGATTACTAAATTATGATACTTATTCCTAAGATCTCAATAACATAGGCATATGATTCAGATGTGGGAAATAAACTCAATTTCCATTGATGAAGATTCCTCTAAGTTTAATTGAATGAAGGTTTAGTTCATAATTGCATTAAGAACATAATCACATACTTAATTCAATTAAAACCTCAAGGTCCAGATCCAAAATTACATCACAATATCAAACCTGGATCCATAGATCCCTAACAACAAGAAATCAGAACATGTTCCTTGATGAATCCATATTTTTACTGATATTTTAGCATAATTCTAACATATTTGATAAGAAAAATATATGAAGAAAGTAGAAAAACACAGAAAAAGAGAATGAATTTAAGTTTTCTTTAAAATTGTAGTTATCTTAGCAATTGTGGAATTTTTGCTTAGGAATTAAGTTTTTAATCTTGTTTTTGAAGGAATAATTCAAGCAAGGTTCATGAAAATGGAGGCTTGATGACAAGGAAGAAGAAAGAAGCAAGTCTGGACTCCAAAAACACAAGACCAAGAAAGTGCAGACTGGGCGTGATCACTATTGTTAGTAAAAGTGATTACTCCAGAGTTTAAAGAAGAAGAAAGCCTGGGCGTTATCACTTTTATCAGTAAAAGTGAGCAATCCAGAGAGGCAAATATTAGGAAAAGCTCTGCGTAACCACTATTATCAGCGAAAGTGAACGCTTCAGAGAGCTTTCAACCTGGCGAGTTGCGCGTAATCACTTTTATTCATAAGAGTGATCACGCGCAACCACTTGAGCTCTGCGTAGTCACTTTTATCAGCAAGAGTGATAGTTCCAGAGAGCCTTCAATATCAGGAAAGTTGCGCGTGGACACTTTTTCTCATAAAAGTGTTAACGCGCCACCATAAACCTTCTGCGTGGCTACTATTTATCATAAAAGTGATAACGCGCAAATCTAGGAAATTCTATAAATAACAGAAACGTGCTGATTTTTCAGAGTTCAGTTTTATTTTTCTGTTTTTATGTTAGATTTCGTTGAGAGAGATTGAGAAAGAAGATTGGGGTCAAGTCTTGAAGCTTCCACAAAGAGGAATCAGACTAGAGCTTCCGGCTATGGCTTCTTGGAGTTTTTCTTCTTCTTCTTCTTCTTTCTCTTTCTCTTCTCCCATGTTTGAGTAGTCTTCTTGTAGTTAGGGGTTTATAGAACTCGAATTGATGTATTGATTTGACTCTTGCTTCTGAATTTTGAGTTCTTGGATTAATTGAATTGTGAATTCTGCTTTTCTTGCAATTATGATTCATCAAAGAGGAACAATTACCAATGGAAGTTGAATTTGATTCTCCGATCTGAGTTAGCAATCAGAATTTGGGGATTTCTTAGGGATAAGGAGACCTAATTCTGCAATCTTAAGGTTCTAAGTCTTAATGCAACTTGAAATTGAACTTCACCTAAGGGATTAGGGTGGTTTAGTTGCTTGTTAGGGTCAATGAGTTAAGGGATTAACCTTTGGCTATTAATATGCGAAATTGATTGTCAATTAACCAAGTTCTTGAATTTTCAGAAGCATAATTGAATTAATATTGACATTCTTGTGAAGTAAATTCCTAACTACCTTTCAATCCATTTCTAATCTCACATTGCATTCATTGATCTGTTTTTCTGCACATTCTTCTTTACTCTTAATTGCTTTGGTTTATTTGCTTTTGTATGTTACAACTCTTCTCCCAAATTCGTATGGCTCAAATGGTTACAATTTTGTGAATTGATACTTGAAATCTAAATTCCCTATGGAGACGATATCCTGTTCTTAAAAATTACTCATTACTTGCTGCAATACTAGT